AGGCTCCCTCAACCCAGGTGTGTCAAGTTGACACTAAAGCTATCCAGCACAGTTACCTTCTCTTGATGGTATGACCATCGTGCTAAAACCTGTTTTACTTCCTACCTGTTTGTCTTTAAAGCAGTATTCACTAGGGTACTCAGGACCAAAATTAGGGAATCATTTCAGGTTCTTCCTTCTCCCTTACACCCCATATCTAATCAATAACTCTGGATAAATCTACCTTCTCAGTAGCTGCCTCTGTCCTCACTGCCATTGCCAAATTTATTCCTTCATCTTTTTTTTATTATTATAACTATTATAGTAGCCTCCTCTCTGTTCTCTTTTAAGTTTCACCATCCTCACATCCTCACACAGCCACTTTACTGCTTTTATGTCCACAGAAAACACTATCCCACGGTTCTGTGCAAGGATTTTTTTTTCAATGGTTCCCATTTACGTGTAGGGTAAATCTAATCTCTGTGGAATGGTAGACAGACCCTCCATAACTGGTCCACTGCCTATCACTGTCTAACCCCATTAACCACCATTATCTGATAACACTTGATGTTCCAAATGATAGAAAGCTCCTTAAAACTTCCTGAATACACTTGCTCTCACTTATATTTTTTTACATTAATGAAACCATTTCTTCTGGTTGGAATGTAGTCCAGGCATGTTAGAAAAACAAATGCCTATTCATGCTTAATCTCTGAACTGCTATCTTCTTTACATAATTCGATCCTATAAAGTAGTTCCTCATTCCTCTAAGTATGTTGTGTATTTCCTAATATACATTTCATTTTAATGCAGAAGCTTATTCTTCTGTCTCTCTTCTCTCAATGTGTATCTTCTTAAAAATGTGAAATGTCACTTTATTGCTCAATTTTCAGCACATGGTAGGCACGCAGTAGTTACCTGCTTACTCAACAAATGAACTATAAAGTTAGAAATGACATAAGGAGATATTTGTAAGTTCTTCTAAAGTAATTGTGGAGAATGAAAAGCTACTTTGGGAGCTGTAGGAAGTTAGTAACAGCAGTCTACATCTAGTATGTGCTTTTTGTATACTCAGTATCATAAAAACACTATCGGGTAGTTGTTATATTTTGTAGATGAAAATAATGAAGTTAAAAATTGTTACAACGTTTGCTTAAAGTTACAGTAAGGGATAAAGTCCTAAGGCTGAGTGCTTATGTCACTATTACTCTACTTTTCAAAACAAACAACTAAATTACCAGTGCTAGTTCTAGGGCTTTGATATCTACTGATATACACTTGCTCTCCATTTCTCTTTCCTCCGGTGTCTACCCTCTTTATTTCCATCCTTTCTTCCTTTGCTTTTCTCTTCCTTTAATTCTCCCTATTCAGTTTTCTACAGCAAGCCTGCTCTATACTACACTACATGATCAGTACTTCACTCCAACGTAGCTTCTTCTTTTTTCTTCTTTTACCACAAAAAACTAAGGAAGAAGCCTAGTTAGAATCGTACACATACACATTTTAAGAAATCGAGAAAACTGGGGCTGGAGAGATGGCTCAGCAAGGTTAGGAGCACTGGCTGTTCTTGCAGAGGACCCGGGTTCAGTTCCCGCATCCACATGACAGCTAACAACCATCCAGTTTCAGGGGATTCAATGCCCTGTTCTGTCCTCTGAAGGCACTGCATGACACAGGTGCACTTACATATATGCAGGCTCATACACATTAAAAAAAATAATAAATATTTTCTAAAAAGAAATCAAGAAAACAAAGAACTAACACTTGAATCCAGAGGGAAAAGATCTGTGATTATAATTGAGAGCAATATTTCAGATAATTGTGAT